TACGCAAAAAGACATATTTTCGATGTGACTGCCATGAGAGCTGGAAAATGTGAGGAAACTTTCTGTATTTACATTCCGAATTTGATTCAAAAACTTGTTCGCGCAGCAGCAGCAACATTTCATAAATTGTTGTGCAATTTCAGAGAGCATCAAAAGTACAGCTGAATTTTTGCGATGTGTGTAACATGCACAATCCGCTTCTTTGAACTCTTCATCTGGCTCTCTTTTGAAACCAGCATTTTTGATGTTTTCTGAAAAAAGAGAGGATCGCATTACGATGGTGTTTGAAGATGTTAATCTCTTATAAAAGATGAGAAGAAAGTATCTGAGAGAAAGTAGACTTCACATATGCACAGAATAGCTCATAGCGGAGTCACAGCTTCTTCATGGTTCCGTCGAACTAGCACCTGACTAGTTCAACAAAATACGAAAGTATTACAATGCTAAATAGCGGATGAATTTTGAAATGAGCGGAAGCCGTGTGTGGCGCCAGCACTTTAACACTCAGGTCTTGATGTTTCATTTCCAACCAAAAATTGAAGCAGTGCTTTCTCTCTCGGGCGTTATGTAATGACAGCAAGCAGCAAATTGATCTTGATAGTAAGGAAACTTTAATTAATATTAAGAAGTAAAACCATTATTCAGCAACTGAATCTCTCATCACTTTTGCTGCCAAGTTATTTTAATTGGAAACATTACAAATCAAAATAATAAAAATTGATTTACTTGTTGGAGGGAACATTTTTACAGCTTAAAAACAGCTCGATTTGTTATCCATCTTATGACTTTCTTGTGGTCAAACATTAGGTTAACGTTTCTGTGGATGCTGTAGTAAATAACAGGCGAAAAAATTCAGCCTAGAAATGAATTGTTGACTTCCCACTAAGGACTGAGGAAACTAAGGCGACAATTAATTACAAATGGAAAATGCGAATGGCAAAATGCCATAAATAGTTTGGAAGATGGAAAAAGACTTTTAATCGAGGTCAATCGATCAACTGGGGAAGGAAACGAGTAGGACCTGTCCCTTTCCGAAAATTCTCAAGCCTTCTTCAAATTGTCTTCTTAGTCATGTAACAGTTTTTATGCATGTTTGCTGTGTAACGCTAAAGCGCTGCAACAGGCAGCAAAAACGCATATTGTGATGACCCCGCGTGTGTATCTGTCTTGCGTGTCGTCTGTTGAGGTATTTCTGCCTAGCAACCAGACAAGCTGTGATGCTGAAATTTTGCCAGTGCGCTCCCTGGCCAAGTGCAACCCAAGGGAAGTGGTATCAGCTTTCACTCACATTTGAGGTTCATGTGCGGGCACGTAAAAATCTTGGCGGGAAGATTGCCAACTCGGTAACGAGGAAGCTAGAAAGTTAAAACTTTAGGATATGTTCCCCACTCATTTACACCCAAAAGATTTCAAATTCAGCTCCTTAGTACGTCCGAGCCTCACATGAGGACATGTGAAAGGTTTGACGGGTAAATTTCAAAGTCAGGGGCCAAAAAAGCTGGAAGTCCGACTTTTAAAAGGATGTTCCCGTCCTTTTAAAAGGATACAACTTAAAGATTTCAAATTCAGCCCCCAAGTGCGCATGGTACTCACGTGCGGACACGCCAAAGTTTTGACGGGAGAATCGCCCATTGAACAGCCTGATCATTTTCAATGAACGACCTTTCAACGGAAATTTTTCATTTTTCTTTTATGCAAGTTTACGATGACTTGCGCTAATGAGCACACATACCAGATAAAAGGACAACCATTCATACAGTTAACGACCTGACTGCTTCAAGTTTAGTGTTAAAATGCACAACCGCATTGGCAAGTCTGGTGCGTTCCACCCTAGGGTTTGCAAGGAATACAAAAACGCACTGTACAGCAGCAAACTTATTCATATGTGTTTCTGTGCCTGTCAGTCCGTTGGTTCATTCAGCTCCAAAACAAAAACCATTGATACTAATCGTGGATTACACGCAGTGTTGCAAACTTTTTATCAGTTTCATGTCTCTTGTATATCCACACCCGCAATTATCCGCTGCTTTAGGCATAAAACACACATTTTTGGCAAAAAGCATTTTGAATATAAACAATTGTAAATTTTACTTGCTGATACTCGCATCTCGCTACCGATGCCGCAGGTCGACTGGGACATTTGCAAGAGAACTTCCCTGCACTGGGACAAGGAATCATTTTACCAGATCAGTTTGCGCTGCCGCAACACTTAATCCTTGATGTATAAGGTTTTCAAGCACCTGAATAAAAGGACAAACACCGCAACGTAAACCAGTCACTATTTTGGTAGAATAATGCAGTTTTGTTACTAATTGAATGAGCTTTGATAAGCAAAAATTAAGAAGCTAAATTTGAAATCTTTTGGTCATATGTGAGTGGAAAACATCTCATGAAAATTTCAGCTTTCTATTTTTCTCGTTCTTAAGCAGCAGTTTTCCCGCGCAAATTTTTAAGTGTTCGTACGCGAGGCAAAGACGTGCGTGAAAGTTGATATTATGTTTCTGGGATCACGATTAGCCTCAGAACCGCTGGCACAATTTCCACATGAAGCTTGTCTGGTAGTCCTGGACAGACGAGCACACACAAACACACACATACAAACATATACACACAGACAAGGTCTTCACAATATGCGTTTTTGCTGCACAGCAAAAACCCACAATGAGCTAAAAAAGTAGCAACAGTAATGGACTGCTTCTGGCTGGGGATAATTCTTGCCTTTTAATTAGCAGTACTTTGGGTACTGGTCAAGGACTGCATGCGTAGAAGGGCATGAAATTAATAGAAGTGGAATTTCGAGTGAAATTTTAAAAAACAGCAACTTTTTGGGACGCTGGAAGCTACGACTGAGACGAGTAGCCATGCCTGCAAGCTAACAGATGCAGATGTTAATAATGCGATTTTTAGCTTAAAATTAAAAGAATATTACTTGATTCTGGCCAATTTCAGCTTATCTGAAGTCTTAAGAATTTTAATCGCATAAAAAATTAAAACATGCAAAAAATACTTCAAATTTACGCGGCGAATCAGTACAAAATTAAAAAAAAAAAAACGGGGTCCAATTTTGGCGCCAAATTCAAGGAATTCAAACTTTCGGCGCTGTTCTCCAAACTTTTTCGTTTTTTTTTATTAACCGTACAGTTTTGAAGTTGTATCAGTTTTTGCGGTATCTCTTTTTTAAAGATTGTACAAACACGACAAACAGGGTCAGGAGTGTAACATAAAAAGTATGAAGAGTGATGAGCGAGGGGAAGAGATGGCTCGGAAGGAGGGAAATGATCAAGAAGATTGACATCTTCCAAACGTGAAATTAGAAACAGGGAAAGGCTATACCAGCACTAGTGTGTTTAATATGATAGGAACCAAAATTATAGTTTTTCCTGACCAGTCTGCAAGGAATGAGTGGTCAAGAATGTAACACGCGAGTAGGAAACGATCCTGTCATAATAGCTCATCATATAAATACAAAGGGTTGTTGCTGCGGACTAATGTTTTTTTTAGTTCAAAAATCACTATGTCAATTTGCCTTTGTAGAGACACCGGAAGCTTTTTTTGAGAGCCTATACTGCGCCAGAATTTGCCGGTCTTTATGCCGTGCAGAGATAATGTCAGTTGCCAGTTTTCCTTTTTTCTGGTAACTGTATTCTGAACTGAGCAGATACGTAGCAGGTGTTTGCGAACTTAAATCTACCCCCTTAGCAGGTGTCGTAACCGCGTAAGAGGGCGCCAAACTTTTTTCGGCACAGGTTCAAAACTCGGTTATCTTAGGAGCTAGAACGCTGAAATCATGGGATGATTACTAAAGGAGCAGGATTGTTTCTTTGAATGAGATTATTTTGGTGATGCTCGAAAGCTCAGTAACCGGATTCTTGCAGCAGCAGATAACAACGACAGCCGGAAGTTTTCGTATACCTCATGCTTTAATAAAACGCATGGCTATCCCTGGTTTTGGAAACTAACAGAATTTGCATTTTACAAATTTTCACCTTTGAATATCTAAGACTGAAATCATCGAACCATGTGAAAAAATTTAGGTAAATCGACGGGAAATAATCAATGCAATGAATCGTAACACTGAATTAAACGCTCGTTTGAAAGATAGTGTCGTGCGAAATCCACTGTATTTTTCACGCAGTTATGGCCTTTTCCTTGTTTGTTTCTCGGATGCCGTGCCTTCAGGTGAGTGATTTCGTTTGCAAATTTTGCATAATTATTACTTTTTTTTTTAACATTCTATAGTTTTGAATGCCCCAGAGGCTGTTCTTGCAGATGCTATCGGCCACCGAATTATCGCTATAAAACACTTTAGATAAATTGTAGCAAAAAGTTTTTAATTTTATGGAATCCATCAGCTTCCGTTGCAAGACTCTTACATATAAATAGTTGGAAGGCGACTCGCAATGGGTGTTATCGCTGTCGTCTTACAAAAAGTTGAAGGTTCGATTTCGCCAGTGACGCAGCAAGTTCCTTTCTGATTCGTTCATTCGTTTCGATGGTAAATTGGCACCGGAACTTGCTAGTGAGTCACTCCCGCCATCAGCTTACTTTTAAGCAACCACTGAAACAGTTAGCTATGGATAGCTTTGTTGTTGTCACTTTCTACCACTCGGGTTATGCCTTTGCCTCTCGTAATGAGTGAATACGGAGGGAGTTTTAGCTCTTGATACAAATTTTTGGCAAAAGACCAAACGCTGTCTCAGCATGCGTTGACTTCTTAGAACTAGATGTTGAAATTTCGATTTAAAAAAATGCAATTCTGCCAGTAACTCAGGGGCAGTTTTGGCGTTTGAATCAGCAAAATAAACTTTCTCTAATAGTTTTATTTGTAATCGGCCGATTGTCGCTTTATTTGCTTGAAGAAGTTATTTTTGTCTCACGAAATTGTCCGTAACTCGTCCCAGACCACTTTTTGCATTGCTTCTTCTACCGTACACCAGGACATATACTTTTCAAAATGTTCTGGTGGGGCGTTAACCTAGAATGCAGTTTTGGCGAAGTTAAAAAAATGCACAGTTGTGGAATCTGCCTGTGGTATTGAATGTGGCGTTGTTGCCAGAACGTCCACCAGGACAGACTCCGTATCCTTGAAACCGTCTTTGAAGAGAGGCTTACAACGCTTCGGTCAAAAATCTTTGTTAACTTCGCTCACAGTGCTAAAAAATCAAGCTGCTCGCCGTTAGTTTGCTTCTCAAACTTTTCAGCAGCAGCAGTTATCGGTATGAGTACGCAATCACCCGCTCCACAATACGAACACCCCTGTAGTCCTTTCTGCCTCTCTCTCCTGTTCGTTCTTCCTCACCACATCTTTCCCCTTTAAAAATGTATGAGGTAATTTGAACTTTTTTTAAAAAACATTTCAAATGATTTTTATTGACACTGATGGTGATCATAATGGCGGGGACAATGATAGTGATGGTGACTATCAGCACAAAGTCCTGACACTGATTTTGATAGGTGATACAACAATGGAACAGCTTAATGGCCATTTAATCTCTAATTAACTGTTGTCAGAATGCAACTAGTGATTGAAAAAATTTATAGCATTTTGAAATTTATGTAATTCGAATTTTGTGAATTTTCGTAAGAAACGTTAAGTACTGAATGGGCTCGGACACTTTTTCCTTTCTTTGTTAATTTGTTATAGCCGACTGCTTTCACAATAGTCAGGCGCTGAAACAAAAGGAATGAAAAAATATCAGAGTTTGTAAATTTTCACTTAAATTTAAATCTAATTTTTTGAGTTCCAGTCTCTTTTCAGATATTGGAAGTTTTTCAAAATTTGGTTCGCCGTGCATCTGGAATGACGATTATCATCCATCCGATGTAGCATACGAAAAATATGACAGCTTACAAACGTATCGTTATTATGCCATGTGGGGTGCGGCAGTCTTATATCTCCTCGGACTTGTAGTATTTGTTATCTGTTCCATATTTGGCATGGTTGGATGCTGGCGGAGAAGCACCAAAATTGTCCTCACCACTGCACTGCTAATGCTTTTCTCAGGTTATTTTTCACTTTTTTTTAATGCGTAATATGCACTGAATCGCGCTATAAGATTGTCTTGCCTGTCTACTAATCCATCTTTGAGCATGTGCTTGTGCTCCACCTCTGTCGCTGAAGCAGTAGGAGCAGATTTCGGATAAACTGCTTTAGTGAGCCGGAAGACCCAGCGGCTTAACTATACTTCAAAGGAAAATATCCTCTCCTCATCTGAAAATTTATGGTTTTTACACTCATATTTGATCAGTTTCTACCGTTTTAAATGTCCAGCCCACTCAAGTGTTGTGTGGTTGTCCGGGAATCATTAGCGCGATGAGTACAAGGACAGTTCATCCCGAAATGCCTTATTTTCACTCTTTCTTTGTGCGCAAAAGCATTCTAGCTATTCATATAACACATCGTGCAGCGCGGTCCCTTTTTTGATGTGCGCCATCATTTTCTTTATAAACACAAAGAACTTTCTTGTTGGCTTTAAAATTTGTTAAGGAATTGTCTTTTTCCCCTCGTTGTAGCATTATTCCGCGAATAAGTGTTTTTTTTTTCTTCGGCAAGTTTTTTCCTTTTTTTTTGTAATTCGACAATTTTAAAAACTTAAGGAATAATGCCCAAAGTTTTTGGGTTTAAAGTTCATGTAAACAGTTGCTGAGATATTTGTTGTGCATATTCAGATTTCATTTTGTCTTATTTTCTCTCTTCAAGAAAAAAAAACACTATACCTTTAAAAATTCTCGCAAGAAGTTTTTATCTGCGATAAAAAATTGAATTTTTTGAACTAAATCAATTTTCTACAAACTTCGACAGTGTTTCTTTGCACCTTGTGTGAGGAAAAAGAAACGTAACGCCGCTTTGTTATGCGTTTTTTGCAGCAATGCAATGCGAAAAACGCATATTGACGAGAGGTTGTCTGTGT